GCTCTTCTTCATCCCAGGAGCAGAGGCTGCTGTATGTCTTGGAGTCCAGGCACCAGCTGGGAGGAGTAAGGCCATAGCCTCATGCTGAGGAGTAGGGGATTTTCACACCCCTCACACGTCAGAGGCGGTCTCTTTGGTTCAAACAAGCAGATATTTAACTGAAATGCTGGGAGGAGGAAGAAGAGGTCTACCTAGCCAGGGTCCACTGGCAAAAGGAAGGTCAGGGTGAGGCTCTGTGCATAATTTTTCCTTATATCCCAGGTGATCACATACCCGAAGCCAAGCAGAAATAGGCCTTCCATATCTTTCCTCCTTGATTATCATTCCAGCCCTGCTGAAACATCAAAAATTGGTACATTACAAAATAATGTGCTTTCTTACTCTGTTACAGGAGGGCATGTTCAGCTCGGCAAAACAAAACCAGTTTGCAAAGACACAAAGTTCCAACAGGCAGCCTGCTCCCCAGAATTGCCAGCAGCTGTGGGAGCAAAGGCCCCTGGGATCAGAAAGGTTTTCCTTTCTTCCTTGATAGCTGTTTGATGTAATTTGCCCTCAGACATGCCAGTCTACAGAGTTTTGAAAACCCTGGGTTTATTCAGTCTGCAAAGAATACTTTATGTCTTTTTATAATCACAGATTCACCGTAAACAGAAATAAAAAGCTTCATGTACAAACTTACCCATTTGGGCTCAGCTTGAACTGGTTGTTTTAAGAGATTGAAAGGAGACAGATTACACAGTATTCCAATATTCTGCAGTCTTAATTTTATGTTTGATTAAGTTGTGTCAGTAGTGGACAAATCAAAACTTGAGAGAAACAGGTTTTATACTTTAAAGGTAAGAGGTAGCGTGACTTGTTGGCGGGTAGCACGGCTGAAAGAGCCCATCACCAAAATCCTCAAAATCCAACACCCCAAGGCAAGTGACTTTTTTGTGGGAGCCTTAACTTCGAAGCACAGAAGTTTCACAAGTTGGCTAGAAGCCAAGTGCTGTAACGGCCAGAAATGGACATTAAAGTCTTCTCCCCACTTGTCTATAGTCCTCTCCTCCTGCCATCTCACAGACACGAGAAGGAACACCCCCCTCAGTCACTCCGTTCCCTTGACTGCCCTGCACCCTGCGGCACAGGCGATGCAGGCAGGGGCAGGGCAGGAGAAGAGGAAGGAAGAGCCATGCTGCTTCCTGCCACAGCCATCGCTCGCGGGGCGGCACCCCCTTTACGTGCCACATCGGAGCAGGAGAGCTCCAGAGAGATTACCAAAGCCCAGGTCAAGCTGATCTCAACCCTGACAGTAGGGAGGAGCTGTGCTTGAACCCCAACAAATTCAAGGCCAAACAAAACTGGGTTAACCTGTGTAATTTCACAGTATATGCTAGCGTGTCTCTATTTTTGAGGGTTGTGGGGAAGGAAGGTTTGGAAGATGAGGGTATGAGTAATCTCATGCTTTACATGCACATTGTTAAGCACCTAGACGTACATTCCCAAAATATGAGAATATTTATGCCAACAGGCAAGGTAAAGCAGGTCCATCCGACGGCGACCGGCAGCACACTGCCCCCCGACTATTTCCTAACACACTTCACCTCACCTTGCCGTGCCCTGACTGGGTGTTTCTGCCATTACAGTCTGGAGGAAAGCCAGCCGGAGCCTTTGGCAATTCCCAAGCTGAAGTTCAGGAGCCCTGATGCCACCCCTGAGAGGCGACGCTGCAGCAAGCCTTGGACGCTTGCACCGCGGACTGACTTCCCAGCCCAGTTGAGGGAAGAGCGACCCACCCAGCCACCTGAATGCGGGCTGCTCCGGCTGCGAGAGCAGCCGGCTGCGCTGGGCGTGAAGGAAACGGCACCCAGGAACTGAGAGAACCTCAAGCCAGGCCAGGAGAGCTCGCAGGGCCTGCAGCTCCCATGGGTGCCTGGCTGCGTATTTGTGAGAGCACTCCGCCGAACCAGAGCCAGCTGCTTACCTCCACCTCACGCAAGTGGGGATGTAATAAATCCCCTCGTGCCGTAATTCCTGAGAACTAGGAGGAAATGCTGACCCGAGACCTAGGAACTGGTAGCCACAGGCAGATCATCTGGCTGCCTTCTGGGAGATGAGCTACGCAGAACTATTTCTATGAACTACTGCTAGGTAATCGCAGCGTTTTCAACAGCTTAGCACCTGGCAGACCCAGTGTGGACCTCCACATCCTCATCCTTTCTGCTCACCAGTGCTGCTCCTCCTCAATCCCAGCTCTCAACTGCAGCCTCAGCTCAGTTTGGGGCCATTTCCTTTAATACAGTGACAGCTATCGCCAACTTCCAATTTCGTAGTAGCAATAATAGAAAATTAGCACCGGATTAGCTTCCCTTGTTCAGTTTCCCCGGTGTCCCCAGCTTTCAGAGCAAGGTGAGGTTCGATGCACAGTTGTGACCAACCTTTCAGGAGGAGGAAGATAATCACGCGCCACCTGGGTTACAGCAGAGTTCCATTTACTTTGCAGCACGTTTTATGCTGGTCGGTAGCTATTAAAGGGAGAGGGAGCTGCCAGCGGAGGAGCGTGCAGCAATCACCTCCCCAGCACCTTCGACCCCCCCACACCAAGAACAGCCGCCTCGTGCGTTGCCTGGGGCCGTTCTCCCCAGCAGCCCCCTCCCCACCTCTCAGGGTAACGTGCCCAAAGCCACAGACAGCTTTCAGGAATGATTATTTGATATTACATCATCTTTGCTGCACAAGCTTCAGGCCACTTGTCAACACACCGAACCTTTTCCTCCTACATAGTCAGGGAGAACTGCCTGCTCGCGTCCCGCCGCCTGCCGTGAATCTGTCTCCATACTGATCCAGAACCAGTGAGGGTTCAAGTGAATAGAATCCTCAGGCAAAGGAATATGAAGGAAACTCCTTATTTTTTTTTTAATAGGAATAACTCTCTGCCTTAAAATCCGCTGCCCCGTCCCTCCCTAAAATAGCTTTCAGCCTGTGACCACTGATCCAGAACCAGCGAGGGTTCAAGTAAATAGGATCCTCAGGCAAAGGAATATGCAGGAAACTCCTTATTTTCTTTTTAAATAGGGAAAACTCTCTGCCTTAAAATCAGCTGCCCCGTCCCCCCCTAAAATAGCTTTCAGCCTGTGACAACCAGCGCCTAATTTTTTCAAGCCACCCGCAAAGGACAGCACACCCAGACAGGCCTAAGTATCCTCATGTGCAGCACGACAGCCAGAAACAGAGATCCTTAAGGCATGAGACAAAGATGAGAAAGTAAGAAAACAGCTCGTAAGGTTAAGTCACCTCCGCTGCAAAGCACCTCCTGGCTGGCATGACTGCACTCGACCCGGGAAGCTGGGATCTCCACGCTCCCAACAGTCCTCTTCCTCCAGAAATAAAGCAGGCTCACCTTTCAAGAAGCAAGGGGGAAGTCCCAAAATCAGCAGGATTACCAGCTAAAGCAGAGATCCAGTTTAGGAAGAGGCCCGTTATCTGAACAGTTTCATCCATCGATAGATCTCTCGCTCAGGTTTCGCACAGCCGAGACCACATGGCACCCCTGCGCTCACTCCGCAGCAAGCAGAAAGCGGTATTTAGCTTCAACTGGGAGTTAATCCTATCTGCAGTGGTATCACACACTATTCTCTTCAACAGTCAGACACAACAAAACGCAGCCCCCATTTCTAAGGAGTCAGTTACAAGTTTTTTAAGAAGCAGATGGAACATACTAAGCCCCGAAACGTAACGGCGAAAGGACCAGAACGAAGCTTGGCTGGTGATTCAGGAACCAAGCCTGGAGACCAGGGTTATCCTTCCCCCACTCCCCCCGCTTTTGTGTTCTAAATTTAAGGACAAAGTACCAAAATGAGTCCTGACAATTCCTCCAGTGACAGGCAAATATCACATTCCTTTGCCTAGAGCACGAGTTCTCGGAGAAATTAAAGCCCCCCTGAACTGGCATCAGCAGACTCCTCCAGCTAATGCGCTGGTTTCGTCAGCACAGACCTTAAACCATTCATTGCAAGGGGAAATAAAACCCAAAAAAAGCCAGCAGCACAAAATAATTTGCTTAACATTAGTTACCACAGGCATTTTTATTACGTGGAAGCATTAACATTTATCAGAATACTGGGTCAGGGAACAGCAAAAGGGAGAATAAGTTAAAAAAAATAGTAAAAAGCAGCCTGGCTGGGAACTAATGTTTAGAAAAGTTAACCAGCACCAGAGGAGAGGCTTCCTGAAACACCAGTGTTGCAGCATTAAGGCTGCCGACAGGAGGGCGTGAGGAACCCCGGCAGGCTCCAGCCTTCGGTGCTGTACAACAGTCAACACGCCGAGGAAAACAGGCATCCCTTGTTGGCGTTACTGCTCCACTGCCCCCTCCTCCACAGCCTGACTTCCCCGAAAACATCTTACTATGGCTTCTCAGACCTGGCGACGGTCAAGGACAACTCTTCCCGTAAAAAGGTGCACACCGCGCCGAAGTTTCTTTGCACAGATCAGTTGCAGACTGCGCCCAACTCCCAAAGTCCCAAGGATCACGTTTTCAGCTTTTCCTCCTGATCATTTCTTGCTGTTAAGCCTTAACAATCCGGTTCAGGGATTCCCCGATACACTGGGCATCGCAGCGTGTTGCGGAAGCATTCCCCACGGATGTGCCGTGCTCTGTATCCCCTCCCGAGGCACCTGCACCCGGCTGAGGGAAATCCAAGCAGTCCAACAGACCAGTTGCATCTTCGTTTGCAAACGAGGAAGGTTTAATTGACAAGTAGTGGTAAATAAATAAAACGACAGTACATTGTTCATCCCCAACTCCCACACTTCTAGTGGTCACAGTCTGAAAAACCTTAGCTGACAAAAATTCAAAAGAATAATAGGAATATACATAAAACCAGCTGTCTTAGACAGCATTTTTATTAAAACTGGATAAACAGAGACATAGCAGCTTTTACAAGAACAAATTTTTCAGACAAAGCATCAAGTTGTAAGCCAACTATCTGAAAAAGAGGCTTTGAAACGTGGTCTTCCACAGCACTTCTTGCCCATTGGTCAAGAGGGAAGAGCATGGCTGTACTGTTATTATCCAAGAGACAGGAACCAAGCTAAACGTCAAGCCCTTTTTCTGAACAGTTGGTCACATCAAGCACCACCCGCCATAGCAGCATTGGGAGCACTCTTCGGTGTTCTTTTAGGTGGCTGGCGTACTTGACCCATTACTTAAAAATATTTTAACTTTCAATAAAAATATTTCAAATAGAGAAAAAAAAATTCTTCTGTCATAAAACAAAAAAAATAAGGTTTCTTTTTCAGATTCCATAAAAGCTTATAAACTTCACTGGCAGCATTTCCATAAAGGAGCAGGAGTTAAAACCAGCAGAACAGGCACTTCAGCAAAACTGTCAACAGTTTCTCTAGTCACATGGGCTGCTGTCCAGAAGACTGTTTCTTGCTACTTTGTGGTGGTGTAAGGACACCGGTGGGGAAAGGTGAAGTCCTACTTTGCTCAGCCAACATGGCTTGTTTTGCTTGAGCTTTGTCCTGAAAGCACAGGAAAAGGAGGGGAAAAGAGATCAAATCTTTCCTTTGGTACCTCTGTGCAACAGATCAATATAATTCAGTGTTTTCTAACTGACAGACCCCTGCCTACCTGTTTCTAACCTAACAGCACCCGACCAGAGTCTTGCAGTACACCATCGCTAGTGCATACAAACCCCAGGAGTCACTATGAAAACCTTGGGAATCTGATGATTCAGCATTACGGTATTTGTTTCTTCAAGAAAGAAAAATTCAAAAGCAACTGAAGAGGAAGAGCTTTAACTTCTACTACAATTAAATAACCTAAATAGAAAGAAAACAACCACCCAATAGCTCAGATTAACCTTGTCGGATAAGGATTTTGATGATCTGCAATTTTCTCATGCTAAAACCTACTCTTGGTCTAACTCGTGTCACCCACCAGTCCCACAACAGCAGTCTCAGGTGATCAGTCTATTTTCTCTTTTCCACCAGAAAAGTTCATGTCACCAGTATTGCCTATAGAGAAAGGTCTAACACACAACATTTGAAGTATCCCAAAGGGTAGAAATACGCTTCAATTTCTAGGGCTATTATTTGCTGTTTGAAATGAGCAGCTTAAGTCAAAATTCCCTGTTTAAACTAAACACTGAACAAGTCAGTCCCAAGACAAGTCTTTGTCCCAAAAATTTTGGAACTGGAGTACAACCTTATGCCTTTTATCATCTGAATACACTCAGTCTCAGTCTAGAAAACACTTCACTTGACTGTACATTCTAACCAAAGAAGAAACCAGAGTTCAGAAATTTTACAGCCAGATATGGCCTCCATTATGCACATACATACCAGCAAATCCAAGCTTTTGATGTGTGTCTGTATATTGTGAAAGTCTTCAGGAGCTATACCTCTAAAGTGTTTAAGTTTGGAGCTTCCTACTTCCCTTATAGCCATGGCAAATGGAACCATCCATTTCACACATCCCTCTATCTGGCACCATTCATAACCTGGAAGACAAGACATACGCTTATCTGCCTGAAGACCCAATGTTTGTAAACACATTAGGCTTTGTTTATAAATGCCAATACCTGAAACCTTCTGCATCAGCTCAAATGAGGAGAAATGATACAAAGCAGAAGCTGCAAGCACTCCGTATGTATATTCCAAGCAGCCAATATCCAGCACACAGAGATCCAAGAGCTACAAAACAACAGATGTTTAAGAAGTCTATCACAAGAACACATTTTTTCCAGGTGAAATAGCATTAAGGAAAAAAAAAAAAATCAGTCTTACCTCTGCTATTTGAACAAATATCTGCTGTGGATATTGTGTCAGCAATACCTCATACTGCACATTTAAATACACAACTTGCAGGTAGGTGTTTAGCCACGACACAGGTGTCAGCGGATTCAAGTTCCAGTTAAGAGCCTGGAAGAGCAGACATGCACAAGACTTCAGTGTTAACACCGAGTTCCTTACTTAAACCAGGCAACGTTATGTACTCCAGGTCAGAAGCTCTAATTCCAGTTCATCAAGGCATCTTTGAAACACAAATCTAATCCTCTCCTCTACCTCCTCCTGCTGATTAGGGTGGCAGAACAACTCATTTTGTCAATACACACATACTGGTGGATGCTTTAAATCACTTGTTACCTAGAGAACACCTTTCCAATTCAAAAGGGAAACTGTGCCTCACAGAAGCACTTAAGACTAACCAAGGCTCTCTCCTTTTAGTCTGATTGTGCTATACATTTAGTTTTGAAAAACTAAAGTAGAACTAACTCCACTTTTAATTCCACTAATTCCATATTACCTTCATAATGATCATTTCCATACTGATGATTTCATTTTCTGTGCAAGCTCCATCTGTAACATAGGCAAACTGGTGCAACTTTGGTGGATAAATTTCCTGAAAGATAGGAGGTAAACTATTAATTTGTGGAACAGGTAGCAACTAGTCTCATGGGCTGAAATAAAAAAGAAAAAAAGAGCCCCCTACCACTACCGCAGCATTTCAAAACAGAGGGAAAGAACCAACCCCACATCCTAACTCAGGGTGTTCTATTTTGCTTTAATATCCAGATTTCATGTTCAACCTTCCTGCTAATACATAGCCTTCACTTTTGATCAGTACAACATGCATTGTTTGGCTACAGCACTGCCGAGAGTATCATAGTTTACATCAAATTTTTTTTTAGGCACTCTAAAGGAAACACCTTTTATCCCTTGCTTGAGAAGAACAGATTGGAAAATAATAGTCCCCTTAAAAGACAAGCAGTAAGAATTTAAGAAGCACTGTTCTGATAGTTCAGTTTGATCCCATGAATAAAGAACAGCCCAGACTATCATCAGGTACTCCACTGACAACAGAATTCCAACAAGTGGTCTCTGTATACAGCAGCCAGCCATAAACTCATTCAGCAACTACAATTAAAACTTAGTCTAACACTGAAAAAAGACTACCCTTTTAAGATTAGAAAGGTATACTGTGATGCTAGCTAGTCTTAATTTTAGCCACTTCTAAAATATAGAACAAATTTTGAAAAGAGAAGAAGGATCTTTTTTCACCTCTCCCAGCTGAAGAGTCACAGCAGCAAACTCCATAAAGCCTGCCAAAATCCGCCTAGTGTACGGTGAGTGTGCTGTCTGTCCATTCACATCCCTATGTTTCTGGAGATACCTACCTCAATCTTTGCTGCTATGAATAAAGAAGAGACACCAATAAGCTGCAATACTGCTTTTGGAACGTTCTGTTGGGTCGCCATAAACCGATCGAAGAAATCTTGTGCTAAATAAAAAGTTTCCCGATGAAGCTTGTAGACTTCGCAAACCTGGAGAGACATCAGAGATTGCAAAGGTCAGTAACAGTGTTATGAAGTCAAAACCAGATGCTACGGATGTATTAAAAAAAAAAAAAAGAAGCAAGAGCTAAACATAAAATTCATCTTGGCTTTCTGCTTCACTGCTGTTGTGAAGTGATGTTAACTAAGAGCAGGAATTAAACAGTTTCCTTTGACACAAGATGACTGTCACTACAGTAACTTCCCCTCCCCACCCACCCCAAAAGAAAAAAAAAAAAAGATCAGAGTGAAAACCCTGAAAGCACATTTTCTAACCCTGTCAGAACATCAGTTCCTCATTTTTGCAAAGATGCATCATCCCAACACCTCAGACCAGAAAATCCTTACAAACACTTCAGAATTAAGAACAAGGACTATGCCACCAAGTCATCCAAAGAGCAAAAAAAGACTGGCAGACGGACGGAAGAGTGGCGGTACATTCGGCACAGGAGGTTGCGAGATGCGTCCGGTCTCGAAGCCACCACACCTTCCTTTTTACAGTGACTTCCACAGTCATTTGTGGAGCTTTCATCTGCAGTGTCACCTAAAAAGCCTGCATCGTGGAGCTTTAGGGACACAGTGATTATTATCCATTATCAATCTAAATGAATCCCAGAATATATTGTCAGTGTGTGCACCATCGACTCAACCCATTCTGGTTTTTTCAAGTTTGGTGCCATTAATTGACCAACTTTCAGACAAAGAGAAATGTCTAGTGCTAAATGGGTTATGAGAAGATCATGAAACGTACTCATGACAGTCATACACTTCAACAGCAGCACATTTGAAATACAAGCACAGAAAAGCTTACCTCCATCAGCCAGTCTAGAAGGACTGTTCTCATTCTAGGTTGCAGGAGAGGGTGCCTTTGCATGTAAAATTTATCCCTCACATACATCTCATCTTTCTTTATCATGTTTTTCCATACGTCATCTCTGTTCGCCCAGCTAAGACAGAGCAACAGTTTCAGTCTCGAATCATAAGACAAAAGGAAGGCAGACAAGCAGCAGCCAAATGACACACTCACCCCAGAACTGGTAATGGTGAAGGTCTAGTTGGAGCACTTAGATGCATAAAGTGGGAGTAATCAACACCAACTGGATCATCATCTTTATCAGGAGTAGGAATTAGCATATAGGCATTTTTGTAAACATTGTTCCAGGCTGGCTGTTAAATAAAACACAAGATTGTACACGGTGATTTTTTAAATAATCCTTTTAGCTGTGAATAGAAGACAATTTATTGGCAAGAAGCTATGGCAGAACCTAGGAATACCTCTTTAAACTGCACAGAATCGTTGAGATGGGCAGGGACCTCTGCAGGTCATTCTGTCAACACCTCCACCTCCCTCCCCACCAGTAAGGGCCACCTAGAGCCACTGGCCCAGGAACATGTCTGGATGGCTGTTGAGCATCTCTAGGGATGGAGACTCCACAACCTCCCTGGACAACCTGTGCCACTGCTTGGTCACCCTCACGCTGAAAACAGTGTTTGCTCCCGTGCTTCCGTCTGAGTCCATCTCCTCATGTCCCATTGCTGGGCATCACCGGAACGAGTGATGCTCCATCTTCTTTACATCCTCCCTTCAGGTATTTACACACACTGACACGATCTTCCTGAGCCTTCTTTTCTTCAGGCTAAACAGCCCCAGGTTCCTCCCCCTATAGGAGAGATGCTCTGGTCCCTTAATCATCTCCAGAGTCTCCTGTTGTTATGTTACATTTTGTTTTAACCAAAATTATTTTGTGTGAAAGCAAGATGCTTGCCTTCAGGTAAAGAATAAGCAGATAAAACCCAATTTGTGATTATAATTATACAAATACAAGGTCAGGATTTCCAGTAAGGAATATGTAGATGCAACGCCTGAAGTCACGGTACCATGCAGAGCAACCTTGACAATGAACACAGCAAAACAGTAGTTTACAGAATTTTTCTTACTCGCTCATCTTGCAGTGCTAAGATGAAAAAAACCAAGGCACTTAGGATCCAGTTGTTTTCAGAACAAAGCAAGTACATGTCAACCAACCCCCACTGAAGTATTAAGTTGACCATTTCATATAGAGAATTTTGCCAAGGTCTGCAAACCTTGCAGGCCTGGCATTTCACCTGTCATATCCTTTTACTTTTATCTGGACCAAAACTTAAGTTTAGGTTTACTTTTCTCCTGGCTAACTCTGTTAAACAAGATCTTGATGTACGCTTCACACAGTTCCCTGGGAAAACACTGCTGGTTTTACTACGCAGTACAACACAAAGCCAGCCCCATGCCATCATGTCTCAGCAAATTAAAATTTGGCATTTTTGCCTAACAGTCAAGTCAGCCATCTTGCTGCCCACTGACTGTTCTCTACAGCACTAAAAGGACAGGACTCCCTAACAAGATAAAGTATCTTTACCTTAAAAATCACAGATTCCTTATGCACTGAAAGTTTGAATAGAAGTGTCACATCAGCATTGCTTTAAGTTAGCTTTTGTCCTCCCTCAAAACTAGACTTCAGTCACAACTTCGTCCTCCAAACCGCACCGCAAGCCCAGCTGCCAACAGCCTTTGGAGAAGCGTTGCCTTTTCAGGTAATCAGCAAACCAACAGAAAAGCAGATCGTACAATATCTATTAAAAGGTGCCTACTACACCAGCAGCTTCTGAAGGACCAGGGCCCTGCTCCACAGAGTTCTCACCCAAAGCAGATACCCCGCATACTACGTGGCAGCAACGACAAGTGATTCAGGAGATTTCACTACCCCCAATCTTCTACAAGGAAACACAAATCAAGGGTCAGGGGCCTCTTTGGTGTTTTGAGAAATGAAAACGAAGTTTTTGACTAGAAAATGTCACTCACCAAGACTGGGGAAAAGATGCAAGCAACAGAAAAGCATATAGCTTAGCCAGAGGCAAGGAGGAGACAAATGCATCGGGCCCTCCAAAGCAAGAAGCTATTGGGAAGGGAGACAGAGGTCTGAATTAGTGTAAATGAGGGAACACCCTGGCCCTGGCATGGATTTTGTTGAGGGAATGAGCATATTAATCAAACTCTTGAGTCTTTAAAGCAGATTTAGCAAGACATTCAACCAAAACTAAGAAACAACATCAAGAAACTGCACTACATCACGCTAACTGTAAGGAAATAGGAGCCACCACTGAAAAAGAAACAGCTGAAGGTGGACAGAGTGTGAGGAAACCATGAGGAGCTTCCTTCGGGCTTGCAGAGCCAACCCAAAAGCAGGAAGCTGCCAAAAAGCGACAGATGTTACAGAGAATCTGTGCAGCCGAATGGAGGAAAATCCTACAGTCCTGGGCTTACTTCTGAGGCTAACAGGAGTAAAAATGAGGGAGGAAAACTGCCTCTTGAAATCTGTATGGCGCCCAGCGAGAGATCTTTGTGTCAGCCACAGAAACATTCCAGATACAGGAACAATTGATCAGAGGCAGAGCTGTATCTCAGACCTGAGGACTAGATACAGACTGGAGGAGTTGAACGGAGGACATGAGAAGGCTCATTAGGAGACAGAGCACCAAGGGCAGGAGGTAGGTGACCAAGTCAGTCCATCACAGCAGTCGAGCCCAAACAGCTCCAAAGAAAACCCAGGAGTTCAAAGGTCAGGGGTTTTTTGAAGCTCAGATGTTCCCAGACCTCAGTTTTCTGCAGCATGTCGTGATTCGCTGATAGATCAAATATGGATTTAAACGGATCTCTTGGACATCCTTCAGGCACCTAGGCCAGACACAAAATGGAGAAGGTAGTGACCATTGGCGAAGCAGCCACACCCAAGAATACAAGCTGCAGAGACACTCATGCGCCTCAGCGTGAGCTGGGAGCCACCAGAACAAGCTTCCAGAGGCAGGGTGAGGAGGGCAGCAGGAAAGCAGAGGAAGGTGACCCAGAACTGCAATTGAACAGCAAGGTCAGAAGATTTTCAGCATGGAAATCTGAGGAACAGGAGGAGGCTAGGCCTGCTCTCACCCTAAAAAGCAGGGCCTCATAGCAGAGACATTGCTGTCACCTACTAGACTTCTGCCTTAGTCTGCCCATCAAAAATGCTAAGACCTACAAGTCTAGCCATTTTTCACTCACAGGATGCATTAGTTTGAAGTGTAGGCAAAAGAAGACTTTTGCCAAGAGAAAGGGATCCCAGAATTAATAAATAGGAGAGAGAAGAGCAACTCACATTATTAAGCTGTTCCAATTCTTTCCAAATCACACAGGAGCTTTTACTGCTTTTAATTTTCTAGAGTCTGAATATTGTCCTGCCCCAGATTTGGGCCAAATCAAGCTCCCAATCTGGACACAGATTACATTTTTATCTGTTTGCCTGAAGACTTGCAAGTTTGTTGGTGGGGGGTTTTTTGGATGGTGTTTTTGTTTTTTGTGGGGTTTTTTTTTTTTTAATTAGACCTTCCAAAGATAACCTAGGCTAGTTAAAGAAACTTTCTGGAGGATATTTTCAAACCAGTCAGGTGGAACATTTTGACAGCAGTAAGACCGGATCCTGGAAAAATGTCTAGTGAGAAACTGATCACTATTTTTTCCTGAGGGTTTACAGCATCTTCTTTTCACCTGAAAACATGAGTTAGTTTCATCTAAAGAAACTTCTAGACTTAGCTCTCCACTCTAGATGGAGTTAGCCATGTAATTTCTACCACAATTGCATGGCTGACTCTGGTTAGATGGATGTTGTTTTACACGGAACCTCAGAAGTGCAGCCATCCACAGAAAGCAGCCAGAATTAATATGAGAATTGCTAGCAGAATTACAGCAGTGCCAGTTCTCCAAAATCAAGCACAGAATTTATGCAATATTCTGCTGTCACAAACCTGATGATATAGCCACCCTTTCATCACATAAAGGGTAACGGCATCCTAATTAAGAACTCAGGCCTTATGTTCAACAGAAGCAAACTAATGAATGGACTATGAAGACGCCGTAAAGTGGGATGTGACTATGATATTTTGCCTCATGTATAAACTAGTGTCAGTAAACAATTTATTTAATGTAGAAGTCATGCGGTATAGGCTGCAGTGGATTTATAGCTACTTGCATTTTAGAACTGTGCCTCAACAGAGTAACTATCATACTGGCTATCACACAAGCCTGCTATACTGCTGCTGGAACCGTAAACATATTCTCATTAGTGGCCCATGGCAATTTATATCAGAGAATAGCTTGTGTCACACCATCCACTGAAGAGCTGCTGCTGTGCAGCCAAATGTCAGCTTTTTTTAAACAGATCTGTAACAATCTGGCTACTTTGTCACAACAAAAAACCTCCTCTATGTAGGAATGGATACACAGGTACCCATTTTATTTATTGTTTACAGAATCAAAGGGCCAAATCCCACCAGTATCCTAAGCTTAACTTGAAAAAATTCCTAAGTAAATATTTTGGATGCCTACTACCTAAATTATCTAAATTTTAATTTACCTATCGTTCCTGCAGTAACAATGAATGGCTACCAGGCCAGGAACACAAACAAGAATACAAGTTGGAAGTCTTTATCTACTTTCAAAGTTGAAGGTCAATGTACACAAAATGTTTTTCAACTTTCTTTCCACTGTCTTTCTGGAAGAAGGCAAAATTGGTTTCCTGTTGAGGGATTTTTAACAATACCTTATTATTATGCAATAAACATGCATAAGCAGTCCTTGCTCCGCTCAAACAGAATGAATCTTTTGGTGAAGGAGAGAGCTGTGGTGAAGGACAGGCAGCTCTTCCTTGTCAGAAGTGAGAAATTAGTTTAATATACTGCGCAAAAGAAAGCAGAAGGGAAGGAGAGATCCCCTCATTAAATGCTCACCATTTGAGCCCTGCTTAATACGTTGACTGATAACTAGTATACGCAGTTGCAACAAGCAGAGGCCATTCCAAACAATGATGCCCATCTGTTATGGTAGCACTTTAGTCTTAGAACTTCCAGCTGCCACTTCTGGTTAGATGTGCCACATTATGCATAGCCTTGCGTACCAAATGAGTACGGTCTGTACTCCCTGATCGTGACTTTTGCAGCTGAAGTATCACCCTGCATGTGCATTAACAGGCTGAAGCCCGAGTGGCAGCGACCATGCGAGTATGTATGTGCTTGCAAGGAAAAAAAAAGGGAATAAGCTTACTTCAGAAAACAGGCTACTCAGTTTTATTTAGAGTGAGCATCTCAACGTACGAAAGCATCGTGCTTCCAATACCATATACCAGCAGGGTGTCCAATGTAGATACCGATATAATTTTGGGTTCAAGGATTATTGAAAGGGCACTAAGGGAGCTAGATGACACTACTAAAGTTAGTTTTGACTTCGTAACTCAGATGAGAAAACTGGCAATGGTCACTACTAACCTCCACTGCAGGCCTGATTTCCACAGGTAAGTGACAGAAATTATCCCCTTACTCTGCAGAGAAGTGAGGCCTACTTTACTACCATGTTAGCATCTAGTATAAACATCAAAGTTCTGATCAGGAACTCCATACTTTCCGTCAGTTTGATAATGACCCTTGTCAGTGCAAATGGAGCTGATGGTGGAAGGAATGGGGGATCTTTCCTCTCTCTCAGCCGATACTGACATAAAGACACGACTGCAGAGAGAAGCGACTCAAGAGATGACTCTGTTTGTATGCGTAACTGTCTCGTGCTTTGGCCCACGGAGTACAGCATATAAGCTGTACTGTCGCAACTCTAGAGAAGTCAATGCAGAGACCTTCTATGTAGGCCTAACTGCATTTTGTAAGGTGCACCCGTGCAATCCCAGGACACTTGGATACTGAAATATTAACAAAATGTTTTATATCACAGGCCTCATCTCTTGCAAAGACTCCAAGCAACCTGTGTGAACGGAAGTGTTTTGTACTCTTCACCAACCAGAGTTGATAGTCCCCCTTGCCCACTGCTATCCAGCACATGGCAGGGGTGTATGTGTTGCACCATGTTTGTAATAACAGTAAGGTACTGCAAAATAATAGGATTTAGTAAGACTACAGGATTATGAACTAAAGGCAAATTGGTTACCTGGTTTTCATATTGCCTCTTCCTAGTCATCTCCATTTTAGCAAGTTCTTCATCAGGATCATGTAAGAACTACAAAAAACAACGTATAGTTTTAGGAGTATAAACCGTGGGACAAGCAACCTCTGGCCACTGATAGGCCTCCAGTCCCTCACGATCACCACCCAGCTGCAGACCACCCACCCAACACCCAGAAAACCACACGGCCCCCCACCACCCACCAAAAGGAGGCGAGGGCCCAGAGGCCAAGGCCGGCGGCAGGGCAAGCTGCAGGCACCGGTGACCCGCCAGACCAGGCCGGACCGGGCCAGGCCAGGCCAGGCCCGCACTCACCGTGGCCACATCAGCTTTCCTCTTGCGGGCTCGCATGGTGAACTCCACTCCCCCGTTCCCCTTGGCGGGAGCCTTCTCCTC